GTCTTCACTACACAGACATTCAACATTTTCTTTTGTGATGTCAAATGGATCACATTTTCCTCGTTTCACACATTCATTGCAGGTGTTCAGCACTTGATCCAGTTTCGGTTGTATGACTTGAGTTGATAAATCTTGGAAATTTTATATATTTTGCTATAAACTTGTTACTTCTTTAGCGATATCATTTATACGTTCTTTTCTTTGTTTAATGGATGCTCCAAGGAACAGATAGCGAGCAACAATTTGGATTTTGAGTGGTATCCTGGTTTGGCTTTCTAGTGATTGTTCTTCTAGTGGAACAGTTCTTCTTTTCTTATGTGATTCTTGAAATCTGATGAGATTCTTTGTCCAGATATTTCTTATGAGACATTATGGTTAAAAATGAATACTTGGAAATCTTTCAGCAAAGCAATCATCGTTGTTCAATCAGGAAGCTTATATACTCCGAATCAAAAAAATATTTGATCACAAACACAGCACACTTTTTCATTCGCCTTATATATGACAACCAACCTGTGCTCACGCTTAAATAGTTCCACAAAATACACGACATAAACATATATATATATATATATTATATAAAATATATATATATATATATATATATATATTTGGTTGGATTTATTTGTGACCCTGGGTTTCACGCTTTAGCGATCGTCATTGATTAATGTTTTAAAAATTTGGGTTTATGTAGATTGCGTGTATTGGTGTTATTGGGAAGTGGTGGGGAAATTTCGTCGTTTTGTCATTCATCGTACGAACGCAAACATCGATATATGCAGACACATATACATACTTGGTCGTCCGTCGGGACTCATACATATATAAACGTATGTGGGCAGTTTCGGCTATGACACATGTATGTATACGGGTGGTGTTATGTCTATACATACGCATTTGTATGTTGAAATGTTGAAATTTAAACATTGGAAGTGTGGCGGAAATGTCTCGTTAATGTCTCGTGAATGTATCCATGTCATATTATGTATATATATATTTTTTTTTCGCTGAAAGATATTTCCCCGCATGTATGTATATACGTGTGGTGGGGTTTGTGTAAAATTATGATAGGTAAAAATTATTATTATTTATATTTATTTTTAAATTTTTGAAAAAAATGGGGGTTTATTTGTTATATTTAAAGCTGGTTATTTGTTTGTTTTTGGTGACTGTGTATATGTAACAGGTAAAAATTTGTAATCCTTATTGTTTAATTTATATGGTGATGTTTAATATACTGGGTGAGAGGGTGGTTCAATATTTCAACATACAAATGCGTATGTATAGACATAACACCACCTCTAAGTCTACTTTTATACTTATAGATATATTTACATGGTGCGATGGGTAAATTGACGCCATTTTATATTTTTGATTTCGCGCATGCGCTTTGTTTGCTTTTGATTTTGTGGACTCACGGTATAGTAGTGTCAGTTCGGCACCGTCTGTAAGAAAAAGATCTCCATGACGCAATTAACTCCGCCAGAAATTTGGTAACAGCATTCGCACCGGAAGCTCCAATGCAAACATTTCAGATTTGTTTGATTGTCAATGTTAGAGCAGTAGATTTGGATGAATCTCATAGTTATTACGAAGGTACAGCAGCTCGGAAATCTCACTGATCGTTATGAAAAGAAAATAACACCCGGATTTCTTGGTAAGGTTCCTAGACTAAATAAGGGGGCCTACATTAAGTGCCTTGAGCAGGTAGTTCTGCCCTGATGCAAGAGGGTGGCTGCTGGAAGACACTATGTCTAGCAACAAGTCTGTCACACAAGTAGGAAAACACAGTCATGGCTGTCAGACAATTTCTGCGACCACATCACTCCATACATCTGGGCACCTAACTCCCGAGACTGCAACCCCATTGATTATTATGTGTGGGTTGAGCTAGAGACCATCAAAACTGCTTGTGACACGAAAGATGAACTGGAGGCAAGGATTATGGCAGCATTCATCAATTTAAACAAAGAGAACCACACAGAAGACTTGCAGAAGATTACGAAGTCGTCTGAAGACCGTGGTTGAAGCCATTAGCGATTTTATTGAATAAATTTACCGTTTAGTATTTCAAGATATTTTTGTGCAATTTTGGTAAATATATCTGTTAAAATGAAATGTTGGTGTTATTTTCATTTTGCAGACAATTTATTCATCACCCCAGGTATATATATATATATATATATATATATATATATATATATATATATATATATATATATATATATATATATATATATATGTGTGTGTGTGTGTATAATCCGGTGTTCTAATAGATATTTTAATTTTTACAAAATTGAGGATGAAATGGAACTGTCTTTAATTTAATTACAAAATTAAATTCGAAGCTTTTAGCTTCCATTTTTTGAAACATGGTTAGAACTGTGTAGCGAAAAAAAACACATCTTAAATCAATTAATATATATATATATATATATATGATATAATGATATATAATTTTATATATCAACAAACACACGTCTTCACATCTTCGGCGATTTTTAAAAGCACTAATTCGAACTGCGTTAAACTGGAAGTCCTCTGTGGCTTAACAGTCGTGACACATCAAGTTAAATGAAAGTTCCGTATAGAATACATGTTCAATTTCTGTCGGACGACGAATATATTTTACGAATTTTCTCGAACATTCAGGCCGGTTACAGTAATTAATACAATTTAATTAACAGAGCATTTACTCAATAAATGTATCCATAAAGAAACGTATAAACGGAAAATATATTAAAGTATGTGTCGGATTTAATCCATTATATATATATATATATATATATATATATATATATATATATATATATATATATATATATATATATACCTCGACTAGTTTCGGCCATTTTGGCCGAAACTATTCGAGGAATCTAAATGAAATAATAATAATAAAAAAAAAAAAGAATACTAATCTACAACCCAGTATGTCTGAAGATTTTAATTTTTTAATATTTTTTATTGTTCAGTATATATATATATATATATATATATATATATATATATATATATATATATATATATATATATATATATATATATCATTCATCATGGGATGAATGTACTTCTGTTTTAAATAAACTGTTTATCAACATTACACGCCAAATATAATAATATACTGCACCCGAATATGGCTCTCCTGACATTTGATCTGAATTGATTCGAGCCTGATTAAACATTTTCTTCTTAGTGGATTATAATGGATTTTGAATAAATAACCCGTTCAGTATTTCAGATTTGTCAGTTTCCTATCTATAACCATTTAGTCATGTACCTTAGGGGCTGACGCAGTGTGTATCTCTATTCATGAACAGGGGCTAGTGGAGTGTATCATGGCCGTGTACTGAGAAGATTGTTTCTTTTAGTTAACCAAGGCGACTCAGGAATCATATTGAACTACTTGGGAAAACTCTCAATCGGTTTCCCTCACCTGCAGAACTATGCTTTACTTTTATTGAAACCTTTCCTCTATTTGTGCATATCTGGCTCTTCTGCATCTGTCTGGTATATTTATTTCAGATTAGGTGTCATCAGTAAATTTAACCTTCGTATATTTGTACTTCAGCGACACATAGCCGGTTGCTCTACAAAATAATAATAATAATAATGAAATCTCAAAATGTGGCATATGAGAAGATTAACAATTCCTGTTGTAGTTGGAGCCCTCGGATTGATTGGAAAAAATTCCAATAGACTCAGTGAAGGAATTCATGGTAGCTCATGCCCTAAAGAAATACAAAATAAATTGTTCTTACGAGTACAGTCCACACCATACGAGGGGCTTTATCTATGTAAAATATGTGTGTTTTTACCTGTTGTTTTTAATTGGTCAAAGAAAAATATCATGATGCCATTTCTGATCTTAGATCTCTGGTCTGGATCCGGAAAGAAATGTGTTTACACCAGAAATCAAAGGAATAATAATAATAATAATAATAATGTGAAGAAGACATGACATGACTGTTAGTTGTTTGTTGTTTGTTTAACAGAATATCGTCATCTTATGAGTCATTTAATGCCGAAATTTAATTTTATTGGAAGTAATAAAATATTATATATATTATTCTACTTTCACAATTGAGTTAATGGTAGACGATATTCACCTTTTGTTCATATACGTATTTGTGTGGATATAATAACTAGAGGCAGTGATATATAAGTTTTATGTTGTAGTTTTGTTGAAGTTGTATTTTGGAGTACTGTTTGATTTCTTTAAGAAACTGTAGGACATTATATACGCTTTTCTTCATACTCTTGTCATCGGACTGGAATCAAAGTGTAGTATCTGTTCTCCTTATCACTGAAGCTAATGGCAATATTAGCTGTTTTCTTTATAAGGAAAGATTTGGCATTCGTTGTCCGAGCAGCCATTAATACTTTCAGTTTAAATTTATGAAATATTTTTCTTGAAACAATCTTTCCAAAAAAATGTTTCTCAAGTCCAGTAAATATTATCGCTCTTTCCAGTATTGATGGGGGACTTCTTTCCTAACCTCTTGTTAGTGTAGAATATCAACGTCATGATTATATTATCATTGTATCTTCGAGTTACATGTGATATCCATTTAAGCTGTTTCTGCTGTTGAAAGTCTACAGGTGATGTGGTTTCTGCTATTTGTGTGTGATTTTATAGCGCCAGTTCGAAGAATGGTCCTCACCATGACCTACATGCTTCATTAGCTCGAAGACATTTTTAACCATTGATCTGAGAAAGTAGTTGAATACAGCTGATAGTTTAAATATTTCTGAACGAGTTTGGCGCCAGACATGGCGTCTATATGAAAGTCTAATTATGATGAATCTACATAAGAATATTACTTGAGTAGCTATTTATATAAGAATTATAATGTAGGCCTCTTGTTTTTCTTCTTCTGCGAGCTAATCATTGAGCTGTATGCGCACTTCTGTAAGCTGGAGATAAAGTCAAGGTGTTTCTATTTTTTTATCTGACAGTGACGATGTCCGGTGTATTTTTCAACCATCATCTGGGTTGTATCATGCTCTTCTTTTTTTTTGTTTGTTTGCATCTGTGGAATTTCTTGAAAGCGGAAGCACTGCTAGATTCCTTCCAGATTGTAATGTGTCGAAAATGGCGCACTTAAACGGCATTTTGACCTGATTTGACAAAAAGGTCAATCTGATAAATACATATACTTACTTTCAACTGTATGACCTCTTAACACAGAATATGTACACACACACATACACACACACAGATATATATATATATACATATATATATATATATATATATGTATGTGTTTCCTTACATACAAAGACGATAGATTTCTGAGGCCTGTTTTTAGTTCATATATACGGAAGTAGGTAATAATGAAGTTATTCACAATGTTGCTTTAGTTCTTGCATTGACTTGTGAGCTGCCACTGAATTTTCTTCAGGAAAATTCAAACAAAAATATATTTATTTGCACAAAAGGTATTTTAACCCTTTCAAATTGGGATTAAAAACTTTCTGATATAAATATATACGGATGTCTGATTTCACCGATAAATATTGTGGAATTGCTTCTTGAAAATTCTTGCACTTTAAGATTCCTGCATTCCTATAGAAGTTTTTCCGTTCAATTTGAATAATTTAATTGTCAACCGTCACCGTGTACGTAAGTGAGGGTAAATGCTAGTCCCATTACAGTAATGGCGTGTAGCTGTAGAAATTTAAGGAAGAAAAATAGCTGTTAAGTAAATAATATTTCTTTAACAAACTTGAATCTGTTTATATTTCTGAGATGAGCCATTGTAACTATTTACACTATTTAAATTTTACCGATTGCTGTTCTCTTCGTTATTGTCAGATTCACAACGTTTCGGACGTTTTACGCTTTGGCCTTCTTCAGCGGATATACATTGGAATTTCGAACCGCGTGACACGATATTTCTGGATATTTTATATTTGCTTTCATTCTCCATTTGGTGACATGCACTTACTGCATTAAATTAAATATCACAAAAAAACCCTATTAAATAAATACGTTTTGTTTTTCTTATAAATCTTGAATTTATTAGTATAAGAATTGGTTCTGTATTTCAATAAATCCAAATTCCAATTTATGAACAACAAAACAGTTATAACTGTTATGCTTCGTAAGGTCCGTAAGAATACCTCCTCTCTCTCTCTCTCTCTCTCTCTCTCTCTCTTTCTATATATATATATATATATATATATATATATATATATATATATATATATATATAGGAGCCGATGAAAGAAATTAAAAAAAGAAATAATAATAATAATAATTCTAAATTATTTAGTTAATAAAAAATAGCAACATGACGAGAAAAAACTTAAAATGATTTTCCGTTGAAAAGTGCACAGGTGTGTCAAAAAATTCCGATTTTAACATTTTTCTCGTTATGCTTCTATTTTGTCTAATAGAATACTACTACTACTAATAATAATAATGATTATAATAATAATCCGAAGGAGGCAGAGGAGTAGTTCAACGAGAACCATCGTAGAAAATCACAACAATTCGTCTTCAAAAATAGCTGGCAACTACAAATGACTCGATGATGATCTGTGTCAAACAACATGAAAGAAATAAGAAACTTTATTCAGTAATAAAGAAAGCCTTGGAATTCAAAAAGTAATTTCAAGTGAATGAAGAAGTTCAAATAGACCAGTGGTTACGTAGTGCAGGATTAAAAGCTAAATGCGAAGGTTTTCTTCTTGTTGCTCACGACCAATGATTAATAACTAGAAAGTACACGCGCTGGAAAATTATGCTGACCCCAAATGCTGATTCTGTGACAAATATCCAGAAACAATTGCCTATCTTGTATCAGTTTTCACAGTATTAAACCACACTGAATATAAAATGAGCATGATATCTTTTCTTTTTTATGTGCCATGACCTTTTAGGACGTAGGCGATCATGACTCCACCTCCCACTATTACTTACAGCTCTCAACGTTCCTTTCCTCTGTCACCTCCTCCAAACCACCTTCTGTCATCCACCTGCTCAAGCACGCCAGGTATATCACGCACTGCTTTCCCTTGTTTCTTTTTCCCTCTATTCGACTTGTGAGTATCAGGTTCTCCAGGCCCTCCTTTCTCATTATATATCTCAGAAATTTCAGCTGCCTCTTTCAGATGTTAAGTATAAGCCTCCTCCTTGTTTGCATCCTCTCTAAGACCTCATTGTTGCTCACACGCTCGGTCCATGATATCCTTAGCATCCTTCTGTAGAATTAAATCTCTGTCGCCTCGAGTCGCTTCTTCATCTTTGAAGAAATCGTCCAACATTCGATGCCGTAAAGAAGAACAGATATCACGTAACAGTTCAGTATTCTTTTTCTTTGTTACCAAAGAAATCGTCCTGTTTCTCAATACTCTGCCCAGCTTTTGGAATGTTTCCTTTGCTATCCCAATACGTCTACGGATCTCAGTGTCGCACTTACCGTTCTCTGTCAAGACGCTTCACAGATATTTCAACTTCTGCGTCTGCTTCATTCTAGAACCGTCCTGCAAATTGCATTTTCGGTTCTTCCTCTTACTGTAGGAGATTTTGTTTTTACTGTTGGTTTTTTCTTTCTTTAGTGGCTTATCAACTGCTATGGGTTATTTAATACCAAAATCAAAATATTTTGAACGCATTTGTATGCCTTTAACTACAGATAAAATGTATTGTTGGTCATTTTGCTATAAATAGGTATTGTTGGTAATATTTTATAGAAAAAATGTATTGCTGGTATTTTTATACTTTCATAGTCGACAATGTGCTTGGCATAGTAGGAAAATAAGAAATCGGCTTTCAGAAACTTTTATATAATCTACAATGGCACTTAAACACAATTTATTTTATTGGTATAAAAAAGGTCATTGAAAATGGCTAGCATTTCGAAAGGACTAAGTTGCATTAATTAAACCCAGAAAAGAAGAAACACATGTACGTATATATATATATATATATATATATATATATATATATATATATATATATATATATATATATATATATATATATATATATATCATAATAATAAAAATATGCAAACGTACCTGGTCAGTTGGGCACTGTCTGTGAGAAACAAATATATCACCCGTCAAAGATGATATTTTGTTATTTTGACAACCTTCGCGGAATAGCAGATGCACATTATAAGTTCAAGATGCAATTTTGTATTTCCAGAATATTACGAGTATGCACTAAAAATAACGTTACATAATATATATATATATATTAAGGAGGCACGCTGGAGCAATGGATATCGGCTTGGATTGAGGAATTTGAGAGCCGAGTTCGAATTCGAGTCGAATCCATTACATTCACTTACGTGCTATGTATCCTCTCCTTCTCCCTCCAGCTATGGGTAAATAGCAGAACAGACTGGGTTCTATAGCCTTGGATGGCAACTGGTCTAGGAGAAGGACAACTCTGAATTCAAAACCTGCGGAGGGTCGTTTGGGGACCTTGTGGCACGTAGTACCCCAGGTCTCTGCATTCTGCTCTTCAAAAAGTGTGGATGGTTCTGCACGAAACCTTCAGCACTATAATCAATTCATGGGAACTGATCTGCTTGACCCTCGTACGTCGGATTCGACGGAAGAGTCAAGCAAGAGCGATATATATATATACATATATATATATATATATATATATATATAGGAACTGATGTTATTATTTCCTCACCTCTTCACTGTTCCCGCCAACACATTCTTAAAATTTTTATTGACGAATAACATCTATTTTACTCTTCTCTGAGAGTACCTATTTTGCTCTTCCTGAGGGTACCTTTTCTAATATAATTACTCCACTAGAAATGCTAACATTTTTAAGTGAACTTGTACACAGGCACACACAGACACAGATACACGCAAAAAGAAACACACTCACATATAGACAGATAGATTGATTTGTCTGTGTATGCGTCGATTGGTTGACATCTTTTTGCGTAGGATTTAACACCCCCATCTTGAAAAAATACATTACTCTTTTATTCAGTTCAATCTCCCAATTGAACGTCAGATATAAGATAAAGTAAGCTAAGATTTTTCAATCATAAAGCCACCACCTCGGAAAGCATAATTTAACGTTATATATTCTTGACATTCCTGGCTCCTCATACTGCATTTAGTAAAAAGATATGGTATTTTCCCGTTCTTATCTATTCGAATAAAATATGGTATTTTTTGTGCTCGATTGTGATATCGTCAAAAATGATTTCTATATTGTATTCGGTTCATGGCGATCTTTATTTAAGCCATTTCATAGTGCAAGTCTCGGCCAGAACTGGAGCAACTCAAATCTCGTTGTTCCATTAAGGTTTTTAGTTTCGATATGGGTTTGCGTCACTGCTGTAGTTGGTTTAAGACATTTTTTTCCTTTTTATATTTAGAATAACTTCAGCTTATTTAATTGAAATAAGTATACGATTCATTTATCTTATTTCCTTCGGAGTTGCTATATGAAATTAATTTCATTGCAAAACGAAGTATTTTTGTGCTAAACTAACTAAAACTGTAATTTACGAAAGGTGGTCTTCATACTTGGAAATCAATTTAACAGTTTTCACTCAAAGTTAATATTCTTCTCTATGTAATTTCATTCATTTTTTTTAAATAATTTCATCCCAAGCAAGGCAATAAAGTCAATAAAATGCATAGGGTTATTGCGTGATAGAGAATAAGAGAACAAAAAACTATTAAGAAGAGAACTGGAATTAAGAAGACAGAAGATAATGATTGACATTGAATTTAAATTTTTTGAAGTCTGGGAACGAAGAATCTGAAAGAGTTCCACAAGCGATATTTGTTATCAATGATAACAAATATATTAATAATAAATTTAATTTATTATGAGTAATTTGTTTTTATTCATAAAAGTTATTTATAATATATGTTGACTTTTAGATTAGCTTAAATAAGATAAAAATGTCACTTATTTTGTTTCATGTCATGTTTTTGTTGCAGGTTTCATAGTCCCGATATGATATTCTGTTAAATGCTGTCGATACTGGAGATTTACAGAAGAGAAATATTTGATATTTGTTGCGTTGTTATATAGATACTTGTCATAAAAGACTTGTTCTTGGAATAA